TTGCAAGGGAGATTAATATTGAGTAATAATATAAAGTCAAAAATATTTTATTTTATTTTATTTTGAATAAATTTTCAGTATAAAAATATACAGACTATTAAATTCAAAATATTGTGAATAATTATTTAAGAAAATTAAATATATATATATATATATAATTATTTTTTTATATAAAAATACAGGGTTTCACAATAAAAAACTCAATTTTTTGAAAAGTGAGCTCAATTTTCTAAAACCAAATAATGTGAACAATTTTATTCCATTTTTGTTCAAATGTTACAATGTTTTATATATATATATATTTAACGATTATATATTTTCAACAGTCATATTTTTTAGGGAAAATATTAATTCAGTAAAATTTTAAAGAAAACAAAGATTAATGGTAAATTTTTTTTATTATAAATCCTGTAATTATTTACCGAAAGTATCATTGAATTATAATTTTTCCTATTTTCTAATGATCATGAAAAATGTTAGTGAAAACTTTATTGCTAAATAATATTGACATATAAAAAATGACCCACCTAATATGATGTTTTGGAATTCTTAATTTGTAAAGAGTGCTATGTTGACAATCACATTACCTAACAATTTTCTTAAAAGTGGTTAAGAAGACCCCAAAAAAAAAAAAAAAATGAGAGAGAAAAAATTAATAAAAAATTGTCTCACTTGTCATTGCGAGTTACCATAGCTCAAAACTAATTCAGCAATCACCATAAATAAAAATATTGCATGGAACAAATTGATATACTTAAAAATTTAAACAAAAATATTATATGGATCAATCACTATAAATGAAAATGTTACTATAGCTCGTTTGATAATCATAATTGATATCACTTAAAAATTTAAATGATTCTTAAAATGTAAGTTAAAAGTTAAGAAAATTTAAAGTCATATAAAACTTACTTAATTCTGATTAAATTTATAAATACTAAACATAAGTATCAATATACACTATTATAAATTTACCACTGTTGTCGCTACCTCTACCGCTACTGCTATTATCACCAAAACAACCACTACCATCATGTTATTGCTACCATCACCACCACCATCTCCGCTACAGCTATAGTTATCACCACCTCCACCATCGTTATGCCACTGTTAACACCACAACCATCTGCCACCACCACCATCACCATTGCTACCGCCATTGCTATTGCTACTACCACTATTAATACTACCACCTTCATCACTATTGCCATTGTTGTCATAATCACCACCATAATTTTATTACCACCATTACACCAGCACCACAGTCACCATTAAAAATAGCCATTTTCTTTAGCTTTGCTCTGCACCCGTATCCCCTGGCTTGACCCTCACGAATTTTCCCCGCCCCGAATAAGAAATGGGGTGGGGATGAATTTTGCTCCCCCTCCCCCTTGGAGGGATTACACCACCAGAGCCCAAACTAGATTCACTAAGCCAACCCCTTGGGGTTAACTATCAACATGCTCTTATATTTGCATAAGGTAAGATATTAGCGAGTTAAATGTTAGATTATAATACAAATTGATGTCTATGTTCAAACTTGAAATTTTACATAGATGCACGTCGAAATAGTAGAAGAATAAGTGGATAGACTTCTGGAGGCCAGGGCCATCCGAGAAGTTCACTACCCAACATGGCTATCCAACACAATAGTGGTTCAATCAACGTAATTTTTTATAAAAATATAATATTTAATAAATTCTATATATTAAACAATTTAAATTATCAAAATCAGGGTGAGGATAAATTTTTATAAACTCACCCCAAACTCAACCCTTGATCATGTCTAGTCACCATTGCTATTATTACTATGACTACAACAACTAGGACAACCCTTCACTTTTATAACCATTGTCATAACCATCACTACAACAACCACAATCATTATACTGTCGTCGCCAATTGTTTTTTTATCTTCACAACATCACCATTCTACTATCACCACAACCACTATCCATGTCTCTCCGCCACCACTAACATTAGCGTCATAACTAATGCCACCTCCTCATCCGCCACTACCAACTCACCACTATAATATAAAATTTGAAAAATATAATTTAAAAATTTTAAATTTTAAATTTGATATTATACGTATTAAATAACTTATTTAGTTCAATAATTAAATTTTTATTAAATAGTTTTTCAATTAAAAAAATTCAGCATTCAATTTTATCAAACACTAACTTGGGAGTGTTTGATAATTTGATTTAGCACTTAAAGCGTAATATATTAAGTGATAATCAATTAAGTCTGTTTGATAATTACAAGCGACATCAATTAAAAATTTAAGTACCTCTTTAAATTTAATTATGACTGAATTTATAAATAGTAAATATATGTATTGATATACACTTTATAAACTTATTACCACCACTATCACCATTACCATCACTGCTATCATTATCACCATCACTACAACCACCACTAACGCTAATGCTACCATTACCATTACCACCACCATTATCTCTACTATTACTACCACTACCATTACCATCACAATATAAGAATTAAAAAATAATAATTTTTAAATTATTTGATGTTATACCTATAAAATAATTTGTTTTCAATTTAACACTTAAATTTGTATTAATTTTTTTCACATCTTTTTATAAATAATAAAAAGAATATTAAGTATTTGTTTGACATGTGTTAAAATATTATTTTAGCAAATTATCCTATTTAAATTACAATCATCTTATTTAAATTACATCGCTTTTCTACCACATCATTTCAAATCTAATTCATATTTCATATTTTTCTCATAAAAATTAAAAAATATATTAATCTAACAATCCCCAAACATGTCCAAATCCTCAAATCGCTTTAGATGGCAGGGGCCACTCTATAGAGTTCGCAGACCAAATATAAAATGCAGTGAGTACATTTGCATATAAATTTCAAAGCCTTGCAGGGCCATCGTCCCCATCAGCCCCCCTTGAGGGTTGCTTCCCTACTGCTGCCTTTGCAGCTTGTTTCAAGGGATTAGGTCACTGTTTTTGGGTCTGCCCTGGGGAGATCCACCAGCAGGCGAATCAATATAGTTCGGTGCATAAATGGAGACCTCAGCTTTTTTAGCATAGCCTTTACTTAAGGCATTCATGCTGTAGAATGTCTGGCCTATATCACTTTCTATCACTTTTTTTGCAAATCAAATGAAAAAGCGCTAATGAAACCAGATCAACAAATCGTCTCCAGCGACGGTTGGTACTCAATTCTCTCTGTAATTCATTTATACACACTCACATATGATATGTACGCATTTTTACATTCATGCATACATACATACATACATGTATAGATTGTGTATCAATCTTGCATCCGATTTATTGAACTGTGTGTTGTCATCGTAGAGGGAGAAAGTAGAGAGAGAGTAACAGAAGAAATGGCAGAACAGAGCTTTCTGGATTTGAAACCCAAGTTGAGAAAAATCCGGTAATCTATACTCTGTAATACATCACACTTGTTTAGATTACATATTAGGGTTACTGTTATTGTTTTATACTATTTAACTGTTGGGATTCAGGATATATATATTTTTTTATTTTAATACCAAACACGTGATTTTGAAATTCATGTTGTTTTGTGGATTCATGCTCCAGGTCATGTTTTCAAAACGCGGCCGAAACAATGGGTTTGAGAAATAAATATGGAATTGAGTATCAATTTCACCCATCTGCCAGACAACTGTTTGTTGACTAACGAAAATTGTTAATCTGAAATTTTATTTTTTTTTCCAAAAATATCTATTTTATTCTTGTACCCCATTACCCCTCAAGAACATAAGAACCTCAAATACATGGATAGAAGGACCACCATGATAGAACTCATCACTCCTTATAGACCCAACAACAAAATCCTAGGAAGCATAGGTACGGGTACGAACGCAGGTGCGAGTACATCATAGGTATGCCAATACGGGAAAAAAAGAGAGTAGGGTACAAGTACGGTCTGGTATGTTTATAATTTTTTTATTTTATAATTTATGCTAGTACATAATATATAATAATTAAATAATCAAATGTAAAATAATTAAGTATTTTTAGTATTTTTCATATGTTTGATAATTTTAAAAATACGTTATATTTTTTGAAGCTTTACAAACAAAAACAAAAAATCAAAGTATCCATGAAAGTGTCCAAAGTACCCATAAAAAAGAAAAACATAGAAGTACCCAAAGTATCCATAAAAAAAAAAAAAAAACATTTATGCCCTAAAGTATCCATAAAAGTACGCAAGGCGTACACGTCTCACACCTGAGCCATACCCACGCTGTACCCGTCCTGTACCCAAAGTATTTTGGGTACCAGACAAGTATTTTGCATACCTAGTATGCATGCAACTGTACCGGTACGTGTACCGTGTAAGTATCCAGTACTTGTACACTAATATTTTTGGAGCACCCATGCTTCATAGATAAAATCTAACATTAGCTAAATCTATCCGTACAAATTTACTAAATGCCAAACGCTTGTTCTGCTATTAAGGAATATTTTATTTCTAATTTATTATAAATTTCTTATTAAACCCAAAATGCACATATAAGCAAATTTTCTTTCATTCTCCTAGGAATATTTCAAACCTATTTCATTATAAATGTTTATTTAAACCGCAATACACACATAAGAAATTTTTCGAGAAAACTATTTCTGCATGATTAATTAAGAAAAATGATAGCACATGCCTTCAACTAGCTTAGCTTAAAGCTAAAAGAAAATAACAGGAAAGAAAGAACAAAAAGCTCTTGTTTTGTAAGATTTTTTTTGAAAATTTATAATCTAATTGAACAAAAAGTATAATTTCATAAATTAGAGAAGAGGTAAGTGTAATTTCATTGTTATCACTTTTATCACGGTATTGGATGATGCTAACAAACAGGGGTGTTAGTGTAATTTCAAATAATAAAAGGGGTGATAGTGTTATTATATCATAAGAATCTAATGGGTGTCAGTGTAAGTTACCCTTATTTTTTTTAAATACCAAAACTATCATTCTCTGTATTACATATATGCATTTTAGGGTTTCATCCTTCTCTCATCCTTCTAGATCTGCCATCCTGCGCTCAAGCTTGGTGCCATACTGATGTAAGTTTGAATTTTTGGCAAATCTTTGTTAGACCATTTTCTTCTTTCTTTGTTTCTTCATTTTTTTTTTTTGGCTTTGGAAAGTGTTGTTTTTTTTACTTTTTTTAATCAATTCCCTTTGTTGCTTTGGTTGATTTTGTTATATCATCGTCGTCGTCATCATAATCATAATCATAATCATCGTCATCGTTGTCACCATCATCATCATCATCTCTCTCTCTCTCTCTCTCTCTCTCTCTCATTTTTAATCTTGTGGACTAGTGCCCTTTTCTATCTAGCCACAGATCTAATTACTTGCATGGTTATCAAAATCCTGATCTGGATCATAGGGTCTTACGTTTCTACGATCTTAGTTGGGTCAAACGATCTGGATCGCACTAGGATCTTAAATTCAGTAGGATTTTAAAGTGACTGCGATCTTAGTCATAAAATCATGTAGAATCGTACCACAATCTAGATTCTACTATGATCCCGATCTTACCAATTTTTTTCTTATCATTTATTTCTTATATATGTATTTATATGTGTATATCTGTATGAGAAATTTTACTATAAACTCTTCCAAAAATATCTTCTAATTTATGTTAATATAAAAAATGCATTGTATAAAATTTATTATTTTTTTAAGGATTTTAAAATTGGTTAACATACATTATCGTAATTGATAATTTTTCATTTTATTTTGCATTGAAAGTAGAATTTTATGATGCTTGATCTGATTCTATGATCTAATCCACAAATCCTTCCCAACCTAAGATCCCGATTTTAACTACCTTGATTACTTGACTTTTGCCTTCAATTTTTTTTTTTTTTTTTCTTTTCTTTTTTATTAAATGGAATAGGGGGAGGGTATCAACTATCAAGTACGGAGGGGAAATTTTGTGATCAATCATAGATTCAAGGACCACATCACTACTGTTGGATAGTGACGGGTGGGTGTCTTATGAGATGTGCTAGTTAGGTTCATGAGGGGGTCTTTTTTTGGCTCTTCTGTATGTGCTGTTATTACTACCACTGCTGCCATAAGCATCTCACACACCACATTACCATCACGAATGAACACAATGATGATTTGCATTTGTTGCTTGTTTTTGAGTTCTTATTTTCTTTTCTTCATTCCATACCACAATGTTAGATATCTATATTCCTCCCATATTCTTATTATTAGTTTTTTAGTATATTTTACTATTTGAAGTTTTAGTCATTTGGATGGTTTGCTCTACTTTTATGAAAAGTTATTTAGATTAGCATTAGCCATGTTTATAACGTGATGTGGGGCCTTTTTTTGGTTGTAATTGTTGTAAGTTAAAGTCTTCAAAGGATGATGTCAACCAGTTTGTTTGCTTTTGTGCCTCTATGATTGTAGGGTCGGTGTGGGGTGTACATAAGTGCACATGTAGTGGTTTTATCATTTTAAGAATTTGAACATTGATTTCATTTGCAGAATTGTACTTATGTAAGAGAATATTTCATCGTACATGTGATTCTTTCTAAATTTGCAACCAACACCATGTGATGTCCAAGAGCTTGGCATTGTAGTTTTTGTGCTTAATATGTTACCTAATTTCAAGCATCTTAAATGTGAATTCTTGAAGTTCTTTGGAGCTGACAACCTCTGGAGGATGGCTGACAATGAATTAATTCCAAAGGTGCTTAGGATGACAAAGTAATTTTTTTTCTAAGTCATTAAATCTATTATTGTAATGCCATCCTCTAGGTTGTCATCTTGTAGAGGATGGCTGACAATGAATTAGTTCCAATGGTGCTTAGGTTGACAAAGTAATAGTTTTTCTATCTCATCAAATTTATTGCTACTATGCCATAATCACCATAAATATTGGGCTTGTTTGATTTGTGTTTGAGAAATTTTTTTCTGAAATATGCTCTACAAACACATTTTTGGGAGTAATCAAACCAAACAGATTTTCCCAAAAAAATTCTCAAAAATGTGTTTGGTTGACTTTTTCCAGGATCACTTTTCAAAAAAAATTCTCAGAAATCTGTTTGGTTGGTTTTTTTGAGAAAAAAAAAAATACAAACACCCCAAATTAAAAAAAAAAAGAGTGTAAAAGAAAATTCAGAATTTGGGTATCTCGTTTAAAATTCCATTTATCCTGGATAAGTTCCACCATATTACAGTTTCTAGTCTTTCAAAAGCCTATTCACTTGTGAACATTTCCTGATGATGCCTGCATTTCCAGATTCGTTATGCTGAGCATCTCCCATCAGTATTGAAACACATTACCTGGACATTTTCGGGAAGGAAGAAAGTTGGTGTTGTGGGACGGACAGGAAGAGGGAAATCAACCCTCATACAGGCCATTTTTCGGATTGTTGAACCAAGAGAGGGGAGCATTATCATCCTTTTTTGTCGATATTTCGAAGATAGGACTTCATGATTTGAGATCAAGGCTCAGCATCATACCACAGGACCCAACGATGTTTGAGGGTAGAGTTAGAGGAAACCTTGACCCACTAGAGCAATACTCTGACAACAAAATATGGGAGGTAGATATTGGCCTTGTAAACATTACATCAGTTAGCTATAATCATATGAGTGCAAATTGTTGCACTACATTTTTATGTTGTCATTAACTACTGTATTAGTCTACCTACTCAAGGAAAAAAGAATTTCCATAAGAAAAATTATTACATTGGTCTGGCTACTAAAGGAGCTCAGTTTAATGGCATGGCTCAATGACAATGATTAAATGATCAGCTAAAGTTTTGGCATGAAACACACCGTGATTGCAAATCCAGCCAAAGAGACTACCCCATGGTTTCAAAAACAACTACCCCATGGTTTAAAAAAACCATGGGTAAACAAACGAACATTAAAAAAACATTCAACTATAGTACCGATACATTAGCCATGCAAAACAAACATTAAAAAAACCGTACATCAACTAACAAACAAAAAAAAACTACCACAATCTGTTTCAAAATAATAAAGAACAAAATAGTACAACATAATTAGTACCGATGGTTGAGCTACCATAATAAAACAAGTACAAGCTTTGTTTCAACCACGGTTATTGACATCCTACTTAAGTACAACGACAAACAAAAGTATCAACAAAAGGATCATAATAGTAAAACAAAGAAAAGCGTTGCATCCACAACAAACCCAAAACAACCACTTCCCGCCAGTACGAGGCACTTGTGCAGGTGTAAGATGTTGTACCCCACCATCATAGTCATCTACCCAGAAAAAGGAGCCCCTATGATTATCTCAATTAGGACAACGGAAAAAATAACGACCATTGTTTGCTTCGGTGCGAGCCATAATCACCAACACTGGACCAGCACCACATGAACAATTTGGTGTCACCTTCATCTGCATATGGCGTCAAATTAGCAATCCCATTTAAAAATATCTAAGATAAAACAATTTATAATGTGAAGTTTAGATACATAAAAAGTGTTTACTGTACAACCTCATTGATTAACCTACTTTGATTATGTGGTCCATTTTTTCCAATTACCAAAAAGCATCTACCTAGTTGTAATCTACCTATTGTTGTATGCTTCCCACATAGATGTTGCAACCAGTAAGATAAATTGATGTATAGAGAAATAGAGAGAATGAATTATGTATTGATGTTATTGATAGATCTGATTGTGTATTGTATGTACATTATATAGGAGATGTGAAGTGGAGGTAGAGTGGTGTAGTGGAGTAGGTGAAGTGGAGTGTGAAGTGGAGGTGGAGTGGTGTAGTGGAGTAGGTGAAGTGGAGTGTGTAGTGGAGTAGGTTTAGGTGTACATTAACAGCCCCCCTCAAACTCAAGGAGGATAGGAACTAACCAACTTGAGTTTGAAGAGAATAACAAAACAGGAAAGTAAACTGATAAATAAAATAAAACAGGATAGGAGACACGGTATGGTCGTGTCAGACCGTTGTAGGAGACACTTTATGAGGTCGTGTCAGACCGGTGTAAGAGACAGTTTATGGGGTCATGTCGGACCGGTGTAGAAGACAGTTTACGGGGTCATGTCGGACCGTTGTAGCAGACAACATTTGTCGATGAAAGTCAGTATCCCAACTACTAGCATAGCGTCTCTCATGAGTCACTACTAATGGGAGAAGATGGCCAAGATAACCAATGGGAGAACGAACCAGATATGGGGAATGATTTTTACGATCAACTCTCGGTAGCAGACCTTGAAGACCTTTCGAATAGAATGTATGGGTGAAAAAAAAAAATTCTAGATTTTTGACTTTTTAAAATTTTGTAAATTTTCTACGAAGGATCCACTTTGAAGATTCAGCATCCAAGCGTCTACATCAATTATTGGCATCTCAGAAGAAAATGAGGAAGAGATCCTATCAAACCGCTGTTGTATGATAGATCCCTACATGCACAAGCTGATAATCAAAAGTTACTCTTAACAATTCTTATATGGAAGTAAAGAGGAGAATAAACAAAGACAATTCCAAACAGCTATTATTAATAAAGTAGGGAACACTGTCTGGGTAGTGTTTTATACCACATCAATCAGGCATTTAAGTGAAATATGTGTAAAATAAATTGATAGAGAGATGTAAAATAAATTGATAGAGAGAGAATAAATTGTATGTTATATCCATTATGTTTACAATGAGTCCTATATATAGAAGATTAGAGCAGCGCCTGTATAAGGATGCGCGAGCAGAGATAAGTGTGCTAAAGGCGGAAAACAAGGAGCTGAAGCGGAAGGCCACCGTTATGTTCCGATTTGGAGGGCCGCCATATGCTGCAGTGGAGGAGCAGGGAGTAGTGATCGTGCCCAGTGGAGTGGGAAACACGGAGGCAACACCGGCAAGGACCGCCCAGGACGGAGGCAAGAAGAAAAGGCCGCCGGCAGAGTAGAGAAAAAATCCCACCTGTGAATGTGGTGGTTTGTTTGTATTTTATTTTATTTTATTTTATTTTATGTTATTGTATTTTTTTTTTGTTATTATTATTATTATTATTATTTTTTTTATGTGGAAACATGGGTGATCGGGGTGAGCCCGACATGAATAAAATGAGTGAGTTTGGTGTGCAGATCTTCCTCTGCGTCGTGTTTTTTTTTGTTTTTTTTGTTTTGTTGTTTTTTTTTTTTTTTTGTTTTTGGGTGTTTTTTTGTTTTTTTGTTTTTTTTTTTTTTTTTTTTTTTTTTTTTTTTTTTTTTTTAAGAAAAAGTGTTGTTCTCTCTCTCAGCACCGAGAGAGATGAAATCACGTGGGTAGCGTTTCTTTTCTGGAATTCAATAACACACACACACACAGGTTGGAGAGTGGGTCACATGGGAGAGAGAAAAACAACATAATTGGGTGATCAGCTGGCAGCAGGTGGACATGAGTTCTGTCAATCGTGCTTGGTTGAACAACTAGAATCTGCAATTAAAAGCCGTGATGGGTTCCCCCTTGGTTGTGCCCGTGAGATGTGTGGTGAGCACATCTTGCTCATGGATTTGAGGTTTCTGTTATCTTGTGAAAAGTTGGAAGAACTCTGCAGGGCTTCTCTGGGGGCATTTGTGGCATCTAGTGGTGGTAAATACAAGTTGGGCCCATCTCCCGACTGCCCTTCAGTTTACAGGGTAGCGGAACCGGGGGCGACTTGTTGGCCGTTTGCATGTGAGGCGTGCTAGGCGGAAACATGTACTGGTTGTCACTTGGAGTATCACCCGTTCATTTGAAGTGCAAGCAAGCCCACCACCTGTGCTCCATGGACAGAAGATGTGGGCAAAGGGCGTATTGTAGCAGAGTCTACTTCACCGGTTGGCAATGGCACCGCCGGGTTACTGTTTATAAATGGTATGCCATCTCCTTTGTCTGGGCTCGCTGCTGGGAGTATTGCGGTCGGAGCCGGGCTTGGCGACATCGATTCCCGAGGCTGGAATGGCCATGGGTATGCTGGAGATGATGATACAATGCCGCCTGAACTCGGTGCTGGAGAGGCTGCCGGAGATAGTTCCGGTGAGGTGGCGGAGTTTTGTGGTGGTGATAGAGATACTGTTATGGCGAGCTTTTGAGCTGATTGACATGATTTGAGAGTGCCATTGTTGAAGGAGAAGTAGAAGATACCAGTTCTTGATGGATGCCAAGTGAAGGAGTTGGAATTGGGTTTGGTAAGAAGTGAAGCTTGAGTAAAGTTGCAGAGATTGAAGGCTCCTCTGTTCTGAAAAATGTAAAGCTTGTAATCATACTTGTGCTTGAAAATGATAGAATCCCCAATATGAACAGTTGGGTTTTTCCATTCTGAAACTCCATCTACTACTACTGTTGCAGAGTCAGAAAGTGAGAAGACTAGACTCAGAAGAGAGACCAAGAGGAACACAAGCCTAGAAGGGACTTCCATGATTGAAATTTGAAACTCTCTGTTTGCTTTGGCTGTTAAAATTTGGTGAATGAATCCATCATGGTGAGTTGTTGAAGAATCTGCCATGAAAGAAGAAATTAAGGAAATTTGGGTTTGTCTGGCGGGCGGCCAAGACGAGATTGCCGCCCGCCGGTGGAACGAAAATACTAGGTTCTTAACCTAGCTCTGATACCAAGTAAGATAAATTGATGTATAGAGAAATAGAGAGAATGAATTATGTATTGATGTTATTGATAGATCTGATTGTGTATTGTATGTACATTATATAGGAGATGTGAAGTGGAGGTAGAGTGGTGTAGTGGAGTAGGTGAAGTGGAGTGTGTAGTGGAGTAGGTGAAGTGGAGTGTGTAGTGGAGTAGGTGAAGTGGAGTGTGTAGTGGAGTAGGTGAAGTGGAGTGTGTAGTGGAGTAGGTGAAGTGGAGTGTGTAGTGGAGTAGGTGAAGTGGAGTGTGTAGTGGAGTAGGTGAAGTGGAGTGTGTAGTGGAGTAGGTGAAGTGGAGTGTGTAGTGGAGTAGGTGAAGTGGAGTGTGTAGTGGAGTAGGTGAAGTGGAGTGTGTAGTGGAGTAGGTGAAGTGGAGTGTGTAGTGGAGTAGGTGAAGTGGAGTGTGTAGTGGAGTAGGTGAAGTGGAGTGTGTAGTGGAGTAGGTGAAGTGGAGTGTGTAGTGGAGTAGGTGAAGTGGAGTGTGTAGTGGAGTAGGTGAAGTGGAGTGTGTAGTGGAGTAGGTGAAGTGGAGTGTGTAGTGGAGTAGGTGAAGTGGAGTGTGTAGTGGAGTAGGTGAAGTGGAGTGTGTAGTGGAGTAGGTGAAGTGGAGTGTGTAGTGGAGTAGGTGAAGTGGAGTGTGTAGTGGAGTAGGTGAAGTGGAGTGTGTAGTGGAGTAGGTGAAGTGGAGTGTGTAGTGGAGTAGGTGAAGTGGAGTGTGTAGTGGAGTAGGTGAAGTGGAGTGTGTAGTGGAGTAGGTGAAGTGGAGTGTGTAGTGGAGTAGGTGAAGTGGAGTGTGTAGTGGAGTAGGTGAAGTGGAGTGTGTAGTGGAGTAGGTGAAGTGGAGTGTGTAGTGGAGTAGGTGAAGTGGAGTGTGTAGTGGAGTAGGTGAAGTGGAGTGTGTAGTGGAGTAGGTGAAGTGGAGTGTGTAGTGGAGTAGGTGAAGTGGAGTGTGTAGTGGAGTAGGTGAAGTGGAGTGTGTAGTGGAGTAGGTGAAGTGGAGGTGGAGTGGTGTAGTGGAGTAGGTGAAGTGGAGTGTGTAGTGGAGTAGGTTTAGGTGTACATTAACACAACCTAATCTCGCCATTGTCCCATCTGCAATAGTTGTTCACGTGACATGCTGACATGGTTGTGTTGTTGCATAACTGGTACTCCATCTTCATTTCCGTGGACATTTTCAACTCCAACTTCACCCTGAACTTCATTTGCACCTTCATCTTTGTTTTCATCGTCATCTTCTTCACTTGATTCTTCTACATCGAAAAATTCATCCTGCTCTTGCACCGTCCAGATCCAATTGTGGAGAATACAACATGCCATAACAATTGGCCCTTGCCGTATCATATCATGCCGTGGCATATGTTTCAATAATGGAAATCGTTGCTTCAACACTCCAAAGGTTCTTTCTATAACATTCCTCAAAGAAGAATGTTTATGGTTGAACAACTCCTTTGGACCATGATAGCAACGCCGCCTATTGAACTCCTGCAAATGGTATTTTTGGCCACAATATGGGGCTACGTACCCGGGTATGTGTGTATACCCGACGTCAACGAGATAATACTTGTCTACAGTAAAACACTTTCAGTAAGAACAAATAATGGCATATTTGGTGATCACAAAAAGAAAATACAAACTTTAAAAAAACTACACTTACTAGGTGGCGGGTGTGGAAAATCAGCAGTAGTTGTGGTAAGTGTTTCTAAAAAAATTCTCGAATCATGTGCACTACCCTCCCAACCAGTGTATACAAATGTAAACTTCATCTCAAATGAACATGCAGCCATGACATTTTGAGTAGTATTCACTTTTCTACCTCGATATGGCATTTGGTCACCTTCTGGTGCCACAACAGCAATATGTGTGCCATCTATGGCCCCTACACAGTCCTACATGGCATAAATTTTGAATGCTTTTAAGGAACCAAAATTGGCCAACCTTTTGATCCTTTGGTGTAGTCATGCATGTAATGTACTATACTTATTGTCACAGGAGCTATATTAGATCATGAACATATTCATTTCATCATAACTTTCAATTGATTTATCAATTTAATCTTCAAGCCATATAAAATAATTCAAATCAACTGACATTTATGTTACCTTAAACCATGGCCAGTACCGTCTGTCATTTCGAATTTTAGGATGGGTTATAGCCATGTTCGGTGGTTGATTGCGCAAGATTTCCCAACGCCCGCATCATAAATTTCGTTTATGTTTGATTACGGACATTTATGGTTGATTACGGACAATCTGTTTAACCAATTCCATAAATGTCGTGATTTTCATACGCACTTGGTTACGGATTAATTTTGGATTTCCACTTACTAAGAATTTTATGCACTGCTCACCAGTGTATGGACAATTTTATGTACTAAGATGCGAAGTTGTCCATACACCTGTGAGCAGTACATAAAATTCTTAGTAAGTGGAAATCCGAAATCAATCCGTAACCAATTGCGTATGGAAGTCACGACATTTATGGACTTGGTTAAACAGATTGTCCGTAGAAATGTTGTAGACTGGTCGAACATGAGATTGTCACTGGAAGAGTCGTTGGCTATGTTTTTATTTATCTGTGGTCAAAGTTCAGGCACAAGAAATGCTGGAGATCGATTTCGGCACTCAAATGAGACAATTCATCGACATTTCGTACTTATGATGCAGGCGTTGGGAAATCTTGCGCCATTTGTAATCCAACCACCGAACATGGCTGTAACCCATCCTAAAATTCAGAATGACAGACGGTACTGGCCATGGTTTAAGGTAACATAAATGCTAGTTGATTTGAATTATTTTATATGGCTTGAAGATTAAATTGATAAATTAATTGAAAGTTATGATGAAATGAATATGTTCATGATCTAATATAGCTGTGACAATAAGTACAATACATTACATGCATGACTACACCAAAGGATCAAAAGGTTGGCCAAGTTTGGTTCCTTAAAAGCATTCAAAATTTATGTCATGTAGGACTGTGTAGAGGCCATAGATGGCACACATATTGCTGTTGTGGCACCAGAAGGTGACCAAATGCCATATCAAGGTAGAAAAGTGAATACTACTCAGAATGTCATGGCTGCATGTTCATTTGACATGAAGTTTGCATTTGTATACACTGGTTGGGAAGGTAGTGCACATGATTCGAGAATTTTTTTAGAAACACTTACCACAACTACCACTGATTTTCCACACCCGCCACCTAGTAAGTGTAGTTTTTTTAAATTTTGTATTTTCCTTTTGTGATCACCAAATATGCCATTATTTGTTCTTACTGAAAGTGTTTTACTGTAGACAAGTATTATCTCGTTGACGCCGGGTATACACACATACCCGGGTACGTAGCCCCATATTGTGGCAAAAAATACCATTTGCAGGAGTTCAATAGGCGGCGTCGCTATCATGGTCCAAAGGAGTTGTTCAACCATAAACATTCTTCTTTGAGGAATGTTATAGAAAGAACCTTTGGAGTGTTGAAGCAACGGTTTCCATTATTGAAACACATGCCACGGCATGATATGGTACGGCAAGGGCCAATTGTTATGGCATGTTGTGTTCTCCACAATTGGATCCGGACGGTGCAAGAGCAGGATGAATTTTTCGATGTAGAAGAATCAAGTGAAGAAGATGACGATGAAGACGAAGGTGCAAGTGAAGTTCAGGGTGAAGTTGGAGTCGAAAATGTCCACGGAAATGAAGATGGAGTACCAGCTATGCAACAACACAACCATGTCAGCATGTCACGTGAACAACTATTGCAGATGGGACAATGGCGAGATGAGGTTGCAACATCTATGTGGGAAGCATACAACAATAGGTAGATTACAACTAGGTAGATGCTTTTTGGTAATTGGAAAAATGGACCACATAATCAAAGTAGGTTAATCAATGTGGTTGTACAGTAAACACTTTTTATGTATCTAAACTTCACATTATAAATTGTTTTATTTTATATATTTTTAAATGGGATTGCTAATTTGACGCCATATGCAGATGAAGGTGACACCAAATTGTTCATGTGGTGCTAGTCCAATGTTGGTGATTATGGCTCGCACCGAAGCAAACAATGGTCGTTATTTTTTTCGTTGTCCTAATTGGGATAATCATAGGGGCTCCTTCTTCTGGGTAGATGACTATAATGGGGGGTACAACATCTTACACCTGCGCAAATGCCTCGTACTGGCGAGAAGTGGTTGTTTTGGGTTTGTTGTGGATGCAAACGCTTTTCTTTGTTTTACTAATTATGATCCTTTTTTGTTGGTACTTTTGTTTTGTCGTTGTACTAAGTAGAATGTCAATAACGTCGTGTAAAAAAAAAATAATTGATGTACTTATTGATTGAATGTATTTGGTGTTATATTTATTACAATTACAACAAGGATTCCTATTATATAGGAGTCGTGTTTGGGGAGTAGGTGGAGAGTAAGGTGGAAGTGGAGTGGTAGTGGTTGTAGTGGGTTAGGTTTATGGAGTAGGTGGGTGGTAGGTGTGGCGTAATGGTGTATGATGGTAAATTCTACAGCCCCCCGCAAACTCCAAGGAGGATAGAACTACACCAACTTGAGTTTGAAGAGAGAACAAAACAGAGAAAGATACATAAAATAAAGAGAGGATAGGAGACACTGTATGGTCAGTGTCAGACTCATTGGTGAATGACACTGATGGTCGGTGGTCATAAACGTTGTAGAGGACACTTGATGGGGTGTCAGATAACCGACTGTTAGAGGACACGTTATGGTGGTCAGTCGACCGTGTGAGACAGTTAGTCTGCGACTTTGGAGACGTTAATGGGGTCATGTCGGACCGTTTAGGAGACAGTTTATGGGGTCATGTCCGGACTTGTGAGAGACATGTTGTGACAGTTGTTGGACAGTTTACGGAGATCTTTGCTGGACCGTGTAGAAACTAAATCGGATCACATCGCGGGACAGGTTTACAGAGTCTTGTTCGGACCCTGGAAGGAGCTAATGGAATCAATGTTCGGGACAGTTACTGAGTCTGTCGGCCCAATGAAAAGAGCTAACCGGAAATCAACGTCGGGACAGTTTTACAGAGTCTTGCTCGGACCCATGAAGGACGCTAACGAGAATCAAATGTCGGGACAGTTTACAGAGTCTTGTCTGCGACCCCTAAAATTTCCGCATCCCTCAAAAGGTGTGCCCAATCTTTCAAAAGGCGTGCATAAGCGCCATCATAAAAGAGTAAAGCTGCCGATCCATTAAAAAGGCGTGCCATCAAAAGTGCGCCCAAAAGCCAATCCATATCAAAAGTCGTGCCGGAACGCGATCAAGGAGCCGGAGCGACGTGGAGGCACTGGCCTGGCCGACGACGGCTGTTGTCCGTGCGTCAAGTGGCGCGTTTACGGTGGTGCTCAATATAACCAAGGTTGATACGAGGCGGAGGAAACAAAACCTAAAGACTTGAAAAACTCTTCCGTTCTCTGAGGAACTCTGTAATACTCTGTGTAACAAACCCGTCGATCTGTTGCAACCAGGCAACATGGCCTCTTCTTCCCGTCCAAGCTACCAGACATGGCCTCCTGCTTCCGTGGTCTGCTGCACTGCCTCTTTCCAGAACTGAACGAGTCCACAAGAGAAATTAACTGGTGCGGTGGCCAAGTGAACCTAACCAACACCTCTGGTTTTCTCCCGTTGAACTTTCCATGCGGGATCGGTGGGCAAAAAAATGGCGGGTGCAAACTGATATTGAGGCCAATAGTATACTCTGAAGTCATGTGTGGAAACCATGACTGCGGTCACAAACTTGTCGCACCGGCTGCAGAGGCAGGACAAATGAGGATGCAACAGTTAAACTCCCGAGCTTTGGCTCTACTTCCAACGCCATGTATAAAGGATGCGCGAGCCACGAGATAAGTGTACTAAAGGCAAGAAAACAAGGAGCTGAAGCGGAAGGCCACCGTGATGTTCCGATTTGGAGGTCCACCATATGCTGCAGTGGAGGAGCAGGGAGGAGGCAACTTGCTTGGTGGTCTAGGAAGTACAGAGGTAGCACCGTCAAGGGCCGCCCAGGATGGAGGCAAGAAGAAAAGACCGGCGGAGAAGTGAGGGCGATTGGTAGCCGGCTGCAGAAAAGAAAACAAAGTTGTTGGTGTTTTTTTTTGTTTTTTGTTTTTTGTTTTTTTTTTTGTTTTTTTGTTTTTTTGTTTTTTTGTTTTTTTTGTTTTGTTTTTGTAAAATTGTGATCGGGGTGGATCACTGAGATGAATAAAATATGATTTGGTGTGCAAAGCTAGATGGTATGAATGGAATTGGAAAAAGATTAAAAATAATGTGAAAGAAAAAGAAAGAAAAAATAATAAAAATATATTGGAAATCAAAAATGAAAGATGGGGGAAATAAGCAAAGTGGATGGAGAAAATAAATAAAAATAATGGAGTTGGAAATCAAACGGAGGAGAGATGATGATTTTTTTTTTTGTAATATAATAAAAAGAGATATAGATATATATATATAATAAAAAAAAATGAGGAACAACATGATGTCTTCGAAGATCATGTGAAATGATGGGATGCATTGGGTGACCTTTCACAGTGGGTGGGTTACATGGGAGAGAGAAAAGCAACACACATATGCATGTGCTTTCTCTTGCCAGGATAGCTTCTCCTTTAGTTGGAAAAAGGGATCAACACACAGAAGATACTCACAGGGAGAACAACTCACACACAGCACTAGTCTCTCTGTCGGTGGTGTTCATGGGTAGGAGTGACAAATAGATCTTCCAAAAACGAGAGAGCCTAGAAGATAGAGAAACTGGAGATAGAAGAAGAAGAAGCGGAGAGAGAGAGAGAGAGAGAGAGAAGGTTTCGTCTGCGACTCTACGAAAGCCCTAACGATGAACAACTTCAATTGGAGATTAGACTAAGCTTGAAAGTCATCAACATCAATGGTTGAAAACGAAGGATCTTTGCCAAGAGCTTCATCAGCTCCTCTCCGCCCTACGATCATGCTACCTCCTCGTAGTTCCATGGAAAATCTCTTCACTGCTGGTCCAGGTGCGAGCCCAGGTCCGATGACTCTCGTTTCCAACTTCTTCTCCGAGAACGATCCGGACTCCGACTGCAGACAGGTGGGTCGGGTTGTTCTGAATGGGAACAAATAATGGCTATTTTTCTTGTCTTCTTAATGGCTTTGATTATTTTTCAGGATCTGCCCACCCGATGATTGTCAACTTTTGTTGAGGGAAGTCGATGTAAAGATCATAAATACCATTAATGCCATGTAGAGCCTTTTTGATCTTCTGCACACACCCGTTGCAGTCCATCCGGACTTGTATCTCGGTGACTCGAGGTTTCTGTAACTCTGGAATCATGAGTGAAGAATTGGAGGAAAAAATGGAGAAGCAATCAGAGTTGTTTGAGGGTGTTTTACGGTGGCAGATGTGGGGCTTCTGCGGCTGCTGAGTGAAGGTAGGTGTAGAGGTCCGGCGGGCGGCCAAGGCGAGACTGCCGCCCGCCGGCGAAGCAGAATGACTAGGTTGTTAACCTTGCTCTGATACCATGTAAAAAAAAATAATTGATGTATTATTGATTGATGTATTTGTGTTATATTTATTACAATTACAAGGATTCCTATTATATAGGAGTGTGTTTGGGAGTAGGTGGAGAGTAGGTGAAGTGGAGGTGGTAGTGGTGTAGTGGGTTAGGTTTAGTGGAGTAGGTGAGGTGGTAGTGGTGGTAGGTTTATGGTAAATTCTAACAGGCCCCCGCAAACTCAAGGGGGATAGGAACTAACCAACTTGAGTTTGAAGAAAAATATATTTTTTCAAATGAAGGAAATGAAAAGATAAAATACATTAACTGACATTAAATGAAGATAATTTTATTATAACAAAAAGACATTAACTAACATTAAAAAGATAAAATACAAACTTAATCTAACTCTCCAACTCGGGACCACAAGTGTTCAATTAGATCATTACGAATTGCGTTATGGGTTTCAGTAGATCTAATTCTCTGCCGATTCAACGTAAATTGAGCATATTCCTCATTCAGATCGAGTGACACTTGACAACAGGTATTACTGGAATCAGTCTCAAGTTGTGCTGCACTGCGTTCATTTTCTAAAATATTACAAAAATAAACAAAAAAAAAATCACAAAAAAACCTATATCCAAACAACACTTACAAACTTGGAGGGAAAGTTGGTTGAGATTTGTCAAAATAGTAAATGACAATTGTAGCACCATTGCTATAATTTGGCAAAATAACACTATTCATTGTCAAATTATAACAATAGCAATGACATTATAGCAACAATGGTTGGAGATGCTCCTAGTTTGGGTTTTATTGTTGTGGAGGATGTTGACAGTGATGGATATGATGATGTTGACGATGATGGTTGCAGGGCAACAGGGGATGAAGATGTTAGGTTCAAAATTCTGTACTGTGGAATCTGCCATTCCGATCTTCACTGTGTTAAGAACGAATGGGGCATCTCCAAGTACCCCCTTGTCGCCGGGTATCAATCACAGAAATTGAATGAAGAGAAAATATATAAATATGTTTATTCAAAAACTCAAAAGTTTACAATAATTGCAATCAAATGATACAATACAAATCTCTCAAGATGAAAATCTGGTCACTTGGCTAGGGTATGAAACCCTAAGTATGGAGGAGATACACCTCTAGCCCTAGTTGCCTCCATCTTCAAACCAAAAGAATCAGAACCCTTTTCCTTTATTTTCTTTTTCCTTTTATACTTGAATTCTCTTCAGGTCAGTTCTCATTTTTGCACACAAACTTTGAAGTGTGGCAACTCATGTGGCCAAAATGCTCCGCATGAGCGGAGCTTTAACAGGAGGCTTTTGGGCATTGGTCGCATGTTCGGCTGCTCAGCAGTGTTGTGGTGGTTATGCGTTCGTTGCTCGTGTGGAGGTCTTGCTGCTCATGTTGAGAAAATCTGTGATCCCTTTCTCTTTAGTTCCACCACTTGTAAACCATTTTATTAAGGACTGTTTGTCAAGCCTGCACACACATAAAACACATAATATCTGCCAAGTAACCGTACCTCAAGGACTATCAATGCAAATTAGATGGCCTCAATGTGGTACCTTTCCGAGCCAATCAGCCACGGCCTTTAGATTAGGTCAAAATTCATTTCCTTTTTATTGTCTCATTCTCTCCTTTCCCCCTGGCGCCAAAAGAAACAGTTACGTGCTAACAATTTGCATTTTTACTAAGCATATTGGCATCTACCAAAAGCTATGTTGCTCAAACCACCAAAGAAAAGATGAAGGTGGAAACAGTGATAATTAAAATAAAAAAAAATGAATTTATGTAGTTTGATCAAATTTGAAATTTTGGCACTATATATCATAGTATCTATTGATTCTAGAACTACACTCACTATTCCTTTTGATGTGTGGCTTTGTAGTGTTATAAAAATGATATAGGCCAGACATTCTACAGCATGGAAGCTCTTCTGTGTTATGTAAACTATGCTAAAAGAGCTGAGGTCTCCATTTACGCACGGGTAAGTTTGCTTTGCAAAAGTGGCGCTTGTATTGAAAAAATGATGATACTTTGTTCCTATGTTATTTCCATGTTTACATGTGATCACCTTTGGTTTAGAATGCATTAGTGTGCCTCCTTCAGTTTTTACCATCATTTATGATTATCATTTTTCTAAATTACTTGTACGAGGTATTTGGTGGTGATAAGATAAGGTTTATGCCTGATGCAACTACAATTTTTTTTAGCAGCAGAATATATAGTGTTTATTTATCCTGTCTCTCTACGAGGATGTCTTATGCATGTTGATTCAGTGTGGCTCCATAGAAGAGATATGGAGAAAGTTCCCAGTGTGGTCTTTTTGTTCACTACTTGATTATAGTAGCGCATTTCAATACGTTCTAACCTTCCAAATTTCCAAAGCACCTAAAGTACTACATGCCATTTTTAAGTGTTTCTTCATGAATTGTGTGCGTGGGGTTCAAATCTTTAAACAGATATAGATGTTATATGTAAGAATGATGACAAATAGCTAAATTATTCATTCAATATCATCTTCATGGACACAGGAATAGACCCTCTAGCAAGATTGTCATATTCAAGGTATGATAAGAGTGTGACTGTATTTTATTCAATAACCCAAATAATTTGGAACAAAGATGACCTGTAAATAGTGTTTCCCAAGTAAACTGGTGTGGAGGAATTGACCGCAGGTTTGAGGTTCACCAGAGAGTGGCAAAACACATTGGAGGCACCAAAGACAAAAACAGGATGACTCGGAGAGAGATGGAGCAGTACAACAGAGAGAAAGAGCAGAGCTCAACAAGAGATGATGTGTTCTAACCATGATGTAATGAAAGTACCACCTTCTATATATAGGTTGCAAGCACATTGTCATAACTAATTGTCTAGTGTGTCCGCCGTATTTTTGCCGTATTTTTGGGGATCTTGTCATAAGTTAGTGTTAAAACCTACCATCACCTACTCCACCTACTACACCTACCACCACCTACTACCACCTACTACAGACCTACCACTACCACCTACTACCACCTACTCCACTACATCTCCTATATAAGGAGCCCCTCACCATTTGTAATGATAACATATATCAATCAATAATACATCAATTTTAACATGGTATCAGAGCAGGTTTAGAACCTAGTATTTTTCGCTTCACCAGCGGGCGGCAACCTCACCTTAGCCGTCCGCCGGACCTCCACCTATTCCGCTTATTTTCTACACATACCTTCCCATCGTTGCCCAAATCCTTCTCTTCATCGTTTCACTTGTTGCTTCCAATCGGCAGCCTCTCTCTGTCGGCCCTGCATCGTAATGGAGGCGGCTGTTGTAACCCAAACGAATGTTGGTGCTGCTGCTAATCAGGACAAGGATCAATCTCATTCCGATGTCAAGCTCTTCAACAGATGGGTCTTTGACAACATTCAGATCAGTGACATGTCTGTAACAGATTACATTGATGTGAATCCTGTAAAGCACGCAACTTATGTGCCTCACAGAGCTGGAAGGTACTCAGTCAAGCGGTTTAGGAAAGCCCAGTGCCCAATTGTGGAGAGGCTGACCAACTCTTTGATGATGCATGGGCGAAACAATGGTAAGAAGCTTATGGCGGTCCGCATTGTTAAGCATGCAATGGAAATTATTCATCTGCTGACTGATCTAAATCCCATTCAAATCATTGTTGATGCTGTTATCAACAGTGGACCAAGGGAAGATGCAACCAGAATTGGTTCTGCTGGTGTTGTGAGGCGTCAAGCAGAATTGATACACCCACTCGAGCTTGCTCTCGGAATGACCATAGTAAGCAGCATAGTGCAAGCAGGTTCTTCCAGGAATTGAATCAAACATCAAAATATTAGCTCCAGCTTCAATAAGCTTTTGCACACAAGAGATCTTCCCATGCATCGCAGCCAGCATAAGCGGAGTCTGCTTATGACGATTCAACAAATCTGGTTTAACAGATCTATCCAAAAGCATAGAAACAATCTCGATCTGGCCATTGGCAGCAGTGATGTGAAGAGAAGAGTGGCGATCGTAGACTGTGGTCTGGTTGATGAGAGTTGGGTCTCTCTGTAACAGATTCTCAACAGTTTCGTGGTCTCCGAACTGAACAGCAGTGGAGGGCTCTGGCTTTCTCTCTCTCTCTTTCACTCTCGGTTGGGAGAGAGAAGACACTCAACCAAGGAAACCCACCTATCTCTTTCTCTTGGCTAGCACATACACACCCACATCATTGATACAGGGGGGAACCAACCTCTCACATACAGACTCATTATTATGCTTCCCACTCTCCCCAACTTTCTTTATTTTATATATATACATATATCTCTTTTTATTATACTATATTACCCAAACACTCCACTTTCACACCACTCCATCTGATCCCACTATCCCTTTTATTTATTTTATTTTATCTTCCTTATTTCACAAAAAAATAAAAATAAAAATAAAAATAAAAATAAAAAATAAAAATAAAAAAATCCATTCACACCGATGTTTTTCATATGACCCATCCACAAATATTTTTATCTATTTTCTTTATCCATTGTTTTATTTTCTTTTATTTTTTCTTAAACAAAATAACAACACAAAATAACACCACCAACATTCCACAAACTTGTCATTTCTTCATGCCGGGGATCAACCCCGATCACAATTTTACACTAAAAAAAAAAAAAAAACTAAAACAACCAAATCCACCGGCGGGATTTTTTCTTCTCTACTCTGCCGCCGGTCTCTTCTTCTTGCCTCCGTCCTGGGCGGCCCTTGATGGTGCTGCCTCCGTGTTTTCCACGCCGCCGAGCACGTTCACTCCCCCATACTCCTCCACTATAGCATATGGCGGACCTCTAAATCGGAATATCATGGTGGCCTTCCGCTTCAGCTCCTTATTTTTCGCCTTTAGCACACTTATCTCTGCTCGCGCATCCTTATACATGCGCTGGAGCAGAGCCAGTTGGGCGTTTAACTGCTACACCTCATTTGTCCTACTCTGTAGCCGGTGCGACAAGTTTGTGACCGCCAAGACTCTGTAAACTGTCCCGACATTGATTCCGGTTAGCTCCTTTATGGGTCCGACAAGACTCTGTAAACTGTCCCGACATTGATTCCGGTTAGCTCCTTTATGGGTCCGACAAGACTCTGTAAACTGTCCCGACATTGATTCCGGTTAGCTCCTTTATGGGTCCGACAAGACTCTGTAAACTGTCCCGACATTGATTCCGGTTAGCTCCTTTATGGGTCCGACAAGACTCTGTAAACTGTCCCGACATTGATTCCGGTTAGCTCCTTTATGGGTCCGACAAGACTCTGTAAACTGTCCCGACATTGATTCCGGTTAGCTCCTTTATGGGTCCGACAAGACTCTGTAAACTGTCCCGACATTGATTCCGGTTAGCTCCTTTATGGGTCCGACAAGACTCTGTAAACTGTCTCGACATTGATTCCGGTTAGCTCCTTTATGGGTCTGACAAGACTCTGTAAACTGTCCCGACATTGATTCCGGTTAGCTCCTTCAAGGGTCCGACAAGACTCTGTAAGCTGTCCCGACATTGATTCCGGTTAGCTCCTTTATGGGTCTGACAAGACTCTGTAAACTGTCCCGACATTGATTCCGGTTAGTTTCTACAAGGGTCCAGCAAGACTCCGTAAACTGTCACAACAACTGTCACAACATTGACTGCTACAACGGTCCGACATGACCCCATAAACTGTCTTCTACATCGGTCTGACACGAGCCAGTGTCTTCTACATCGGTCTGCCATAACCATACAGTCTTCTACAACGGTCTGACACGACCATACAGTGTCTCCTATCCATTTTTTATTTTTCAGATTATTTTCTTGTTTTGTTATTCTCTCCAAACTCAAGTTGGTTAGTTCCTATCCCCCTTGAGTTTGCGGGGGGCTGTTAAAACCTACCATCACCTACTCCACCTACTACACCTACCACCACCTACTACCACCTACTACACACCTACCACTACCACCTACTCCACTACATCTCCTATATAAGGAGCCCCTCACCATTTGTAATGATAACATATATCAATCAATAATACATCAATTTTAACAGTTAGTTAGACTATTAGGATAGGATTACATAATGATTTTAGAGAACCTAGTTGTGAGGTCTCTCTGTCTCTCAATAGGACTGACCCAAGGCAGCTTGGCTTTGGGCACAACTTTCCTTTGGGCCAACACTAAGGCAAGGCTCCATCTCTTGCCTTTGGGCCACAAGAACCCAGAGACACGCTGCATACCAAGGACTACAGCATACCTAAAACTTTCCTCTCAACCTAGATACTTATTACTTCCTAAGCAATTGAGTGGTACACCTACCAGAAAAGGTAATAAGACACGCATTATGACAACTATGACAATGAGTTGTACGATTATGACTATTATGGCCATGAGATAGCCTAATCTCCTGAATCCTGTGGGATGTCAAGTTGGCGAGGCTTCAAGAGATGAGCTCTTAGGACTTGGATACAAATTGTCGCAAGGCTTTTGATCTTATTCAGTTTAGTCTGAACACATGGACTGTACATGCCCTCATCATGGGTAACATGTGTAAGTTTTTATGCTGAAATGTAAAACACATGTCATTGCGTACATGTGCATGACATGTTGGCAGTAATGGTGGTATCTACAACTGGGAAGTAAGTTGCTATTCTGGTGTCCATGAACCATAGGTGTTTGTTTTATAGACTTTTTGTTAGTGATTTTATGATCAATGATAGTATTTTAGATTCTACATTTAATATGAGAATTTGATTAGTTTAAAAAAATATTTTAAAATGTTGTCAAAACCCCATCCCCACAACCCTGCCCTAAACCTGTCTTTTGCATCATTATCACAATTTATTTTCCTTTGTTCAAATGTAGAAAAGGTTTGCAAATGCATTACATGTGGTTCCATGCTTTTCTTTCTGTTTCTTAAATGCTCTATTTGGTTCACTTGAATGAGATGGAATGGAATGATCTTTCCCCTACACTGGTGAATAATGATTCTATTTGTAATGCATTTTTCATTAAATTTTTAATCAACCAAACACGGGAATAGAATTTTTGATGAAATGATAATTCCATTCCATTGCATTTCAGTAAACTAAACACTACCCTTAGGTAATCTTACTGATAATTCCTAGTAGTCTCGTTGGAATTCTAGATTAGGGATAGGTAATCTCACTGAACTTAAGTGGTTAAAAGTTATAGTTTGCTCAACATTTCAATTCAAAAGAGCCCTTTCTGAAGGGAAAGATCCTGGATAAAAAAGGGAGATTATGATTGTCAATCTCGAACAGATTGTAAATGGTTTCCTTCAACAATGCAAGAATTCTGGGTTCTTACACGTGTGTTTCCTTATTGCAGAACTATACTCCTTTAACTGTTGGTGCATCCCAAGGCAGAAAAAAACAGGTCAACATTACGTCAACAACCAATGTTTGTTTGTTTTACATATCCTACTTCATCAGTATTAATGTGCTTGTTATTTCATACTTGTTAAGTTAACCTTTTCAATACCTGCCAAGTTGCTCATCTGGTTCTGGTACTTCAAATAAAATACTAGGAGGCAAGCGTGGGTTACATAAAATCTGGTTGTCCTGGGCTAGTGAAACTTTTGTAATAACGGTGCAATAAAAATATATGGGAGTTGGTACCCAGTAATACCTTTTTATGAATTAGCAGCACATCAAATCCTTGTATAGAGATGAGTACTGAAGCCTTCAATTCTCCGAGATATTATTTCTAGGGTAAATTACAGTTTACCCATTTTAAGTTTCATAATTTTCACTTTAAAGTATTTTTTTTTCTCACTTTGTCCCCTAATGTTTGTGATTTTTTTTAAAAATTTACTCCCAAAACCAGCTTCCGTCCAATTTTGGATGGAAAATGCCATGTTGGCAGCCATGTGGCATGAAAAGTATATTATCTTAAGTTTTTTGATAAATTGCACTTTGCCCTCTTAAGTTTCACAATTTTTCCACCGTAGGCCCTAAATTTTGTAATTTTTCCAAATTTACTCCCCAAACCAACTTTAGTCCAACTTGGGACGGAAAATGCCACCTTGGTAGCCATGTCGATGAAAATATATTATATTAGAATTTTAAGACCCAAAATTCAAATTCAATCAGAAGTGGTGTTCTTCGGGTTTGCCCCTCCACTCGTGGTGCCTCATACTTCTGATAGTTGTATCTGCACAATTTTATAACCTTTGTTTCCTTGTTTAAAGCATCTAAAAACAACAGGACCTTTTTGATATGATTGTTGTGGTTGGCCACACAGCATGCTCAGTGCTTTGGCAGTAGAAATTTGTTAAGCACTTTTATCATATTTACTTTTAAAATCGTTTCTTTTGCTCATCAATTTGTCTCTTTCAGTGACTTAATCCCCCAAAGGTAAGGAAACAAGCTGAAAAGGCAGCAGCAGGGAAGCAATGCTCAAAAGATCTCATGCATGCTTCCAACCAAAGTAATGTTCTGACACTACTTTGCTGATTAGTCTCTCTCTCTCTCTCTCTCTCTCTCTCTCTCTCTCTCATGTGTTTGTGAATTTTTTCCCAGCGCTTTTTCGAGAATTAATTCTCGCAATGTTTAAAATAACTGAGATGCGTCTGTTTCTAATTCTTTCACCATGCTGCAACGACATCCTTACTCCTAGTTTACAACCAAAACCTCGTGCATTAATCCTAAAAGTATTGGTTTGGTTTAGGTTTTTTAAATTGTTTTGTATTTTTATTTTTTCATCTTTACTGAGCTTTTTCGTATTTTTTCTTTTGGACTTTTTAGATGCACTAAAAAAGTAAAATATTGGACTAATTACACTAGTAATCCCTTTACTTTGACCCTTGTATCATTTGGTCATGGGCAAGGACACGTGATACGACATGCGATATGACACCGACACACTGACACGTCAATTTTTAAAAAATGCAAGACAGGACACGTGGGGGACACGTATGAAATATATAATTTTATATATTTATAATATGTTATATATATGAATATATCATTCAAAGATAATAAAAAAATGCAATATGGCACTAATTTCAATGAATTTATATGATTTTTGTTTTATTATTATATCTTAAGTTGTTTTATTGAAATTTATAATTAGTCTTATGTGTCTAATCGATAGACACGTGTTTAAGTGATAGACACGTATATTCTCCACGTGTCCAAAGAGTGTCTGGATTTAAAAAAAAAAAATTAAAAAATATGACACATTTTGAAGGGTGTCGGACACGTGTCGGGGAAGTGTCCAAAGAGTGTCAGTGTTCAACATGGACACGACACGGACACGTCACATTCTTAGAAGTGTCTATGCTTCTTTATAATTTCAATTGGCTCAATTTTGATCCTAATTTTTTTATTTTGTTTTGAGTTGGCCCAATTGTAACAAATGTTAGCAATTTTTTTTAATGAAAAATGTGGCCATGAACGTGTCATGCTTTAATGGGCAAAATTGTAAACTTGATCAACTTAGTTAGTTAATTTTAACCAATTCAATGATCATTTTCTGTCAAAACCCCTAATGATGTCATCAATTGGACCAAATTAATACAAAATCTAAATCTAAGAGTTAAAATTGAGCAAATTAAAAGTGCAGGAACAAAATGACATGAGGGGCAAAATGTAGAGACTATCGGTGTAATTTGCCCTAAAATATTTGCGAAGAAATATGAAAAAAAAGTTCATTAAAAATTAAAAAAAAATATAAAGTACAAAAATGTGCTTTTTTTTTTTTTTGGTAATCTAGATGCATCTAAAAGACAAAAACACTAAAAAATTTGAAAACCAAACAAGATAATATTATAAGACTACAGATTTGATAATGATACGACCACATGATCACATCTAATTTTAACATGTAGAATTGTTTGCTCTGCTAAAAGATACTCAATGCCATATTCTTCAATCATAGGTGAGACAGGTCAATGTTCCTCTCACTTAATGTGGCCTTCTAATGAATGATGCAGGTCATGAGGAAAGCGATAACCCAGAAGAGGTATCTCTGCCTGGTGAACTTCCAAAGAAAGTTTGTCATGATAAGGCCCCTAATTCAGCCTCTGCGTCTCATGACGAGGAGGAGGCTCAATTCCATCTAAGCAAGTATTACCAATAAAGATGCTCGGAAGTTGTGAGCCTAAGCATGTACAAGCTTTGATCAATGGTCAAGCTGGGGCAAACTTATCAACAAGCTTGAGCCATGTTGGGGATAAAGGAGGTTGCACAACGTGTTGAGGAGGCAAGTTGCTGAGGTAAACTACTGAACAATGGAGAACACACCAATATCAAATGTAATCCATAAATATAGCAGTTTGTGAGACTCTGAAAGCCATTTGGATTGTTTTTATGTTTGTTTGTGCTTTTTACACGACACCCTATACATCTTTTGAAACTCAAAAGACTTGACGTGGTTTAAATCTAATAAATAGTATTTTTAATAATGCTTCTTGTTGGTTGTGCTCTTCTTTTCTTCTTCTCTCTTGTGAATTCTCTCCCAAAGATTTTTCAGGATTTTAGGTGCTCAACAATTTGATCTTTTGTTTTGATTAGTCCATGGGGTGGAAGATCAAAGAATATCTTATACTATGGAGGGTGATCCCTTTCAAGTAATATGTGATCAGTGTGTATCTATATATATCTGTGTTTGCACAACGTAAGATATTAGTGAGTTAGTTAGATTACAATGCAAGCCGACCTCTCTATATTCGAATGGCACTTTAAAGTGTCCTTTCAAAATCACGTGGGCTAGAGCCGGTCTTGCGAAAATTTAGCTTCGCGTGTTGAAGGGGGGCCCAAAAAAAACATCATTACTGGAGGCCCAATTAGTTATGAGTCTTGTAGATGTGCGGCTGATTTTATTTGCACCAAAATAGATACCCCTAATTAAAATTTAAAAATTTCGCTTCTTAGTATATCTTAATGTAAATTTATAAATAAGGACAATATAGATTAAATTTTTAAATAAAATATATATATATTTTTTCATGTTACATCCTAATTACTTATACGTACTTTTTATATTTAAGTCTCTTCTTTTTTGTTTTAAAATATCAATTATTCTCTCTTTATTTTCTTCCTTACTCCAAAATTCTAATTCATCCTATCAAAATTTACTGTTATCATTAACATTATTGTTTCTTGAATAATGCTATATATACTAATTAGTGTACTAATAGGAGATATGACATCATTTTAAAAGTTTTGGATATTTGTGATGTATATAATAAATGTGGTTAATAATAATGGCATAACATTAGTTAGTACGTTAATTGGTACATATAGCACTACCGTTATTTTTTAGTATTCAAATCACAGTATGTGTTGTAAGCAAAGACGGCTCTCAAATGAACACTTTGGACTTTATGGTAACCCGCGATCAAAACCAAAATTAGTTTCCAGTTTTGGTTCTAGAGCAGCCATGGCTCCCAAAGGGAGGTTTCTGGCAAAAACACTACAACCAGAACCGGCCATCACTGCCAACAATGGCAACAAAATAAAGGTTCACAATTCTTACTCTTCTAAGCATCCAAAAAATCACCCTTGTAAGCCACCAACAGTTTCGCCGCATCATCTCTAAATTTTGATAAAAATTTGGCTAGAAACTCCTCTGACAAACTCAATACATGAATAAGCCTGGCTCCTTCTTCAACAGCGACGTCGGCTGGGTGGTTTGCCAACGTCGTTCTCCTTCGTTGATGCTGTTGTTCTCTGTATGTGAATAAAAGAATATGTAATTTGAATTGATTTGTTTATTATTTGGGTGTACCATAAATTATAAATTTATCTTAAAGGTAATTTGTGAAAACATAAAGTGTATTGAGAGTAAATTATAACCTTAAATAATTTAATAGAGAGTATTGAGAAATTAAACATAAATATTGTAGATAGAATCTCCCGTAGATCTACTACTTGCAACTATTGTAAATAATAAACTCTTATTTTTAATTGGCCATTTACTTGCATTTTTTTAAAGTATACCTAGGATCTCAGTTTAACTATTTTAAAAATAATAATTTTATTCCTTTAATTGTTTTTCAAAAATATTACTGAATTATATATATATATATATATATTTTTTGTATTTTCTGATGATCATAAAAAATGCTAGTAAAAATTTTATTGTTATATAATGTTGACCCATAATAACTCACCTAATATGTGATGTTTTGAAATTCTTCACTTGTAAGAGTGCTATGTTGACAAAGTCACATCATATGAATTACTTAATAATTTTCTTAGAAGTCGTGTTAGTGATTAAGACAAAAAATAAAAAATAAAAAAATAAAAAATTGAAACAAAAAAAATTAATAAAAAATTGTCTTTACTTCTCCTGGCGAGTTACTATAGCTCAAAACCAATTGAGCAATCATTAAGCTCATTTTCACATCAATTTAATTTATTTATTTATTTTAAAAAAATACACAATCATGTACAAAGAAAATTGATAGAAACAATGATAAGAAAAAGTGAAACAATCACTATAAATGAAAATATTACTGGAGCAAAGACCTAATCTTGCATAAGATATAGTGAAAAAATAAGAATTTATTTAATTTAATTGAATAAATAAAGCTTAAATAATAAATTATTTGTTATCAGTTTATACACAACTAATTATTCTTTGTTCGTTCCAAAATCAAAACAGATTAAAAATAAATAAATAAATAAAAATCAAAGAAATGCTAATGAACTTGTTTGTAGAGAGATACCAGATTAGTGCATAGCAGATTGTTTCCATCCGCCAAAGCTCTCCTCCTCCAAATTGAATCCCCGATCTCTCTGCAACCAATGAGCCGACATTTTTAGGCATGAGACAGTGCATTTGGCAATAGGCTTAGGCTATTATAAAAAGTTAAAATGACAAAATAATACCAAAGTGTTAAAGATTCATTTCCACTTTCTCTACTTTTTCTACATCTTTCCATAAAATTCAAAAAGCCATTAGCAAACAATTCAATTTTTTCACCTCGTGTTTTACCTTAAAAACAACTAAAAAAATGCACTTCCCAAATGAACACTTGGCCAATTGTTGTAACTGTGAAATAAAAAGGCATAGTAAGTTTTCGATTAAAGATTAAGCTTTACCAGACAGCTTTCGCATTACACTCAATAAATGGATGAGAAAGTACTTTCTTTTTTCTGTTTTTTCTAATTGATAAATGGTTTCAGAATTTCAGTAAATTGAGTGTCAGGCGAATGGGAATCGTACAGCAAAAGAAACAGCTATTTGGTTGTGTTTTCCTTTTTCAGAGAACACCAAAAAAAAAAAGAAAAAAAAAGAAAAAACCAAAAACAAACTTGATTGACGGAAAAAATTTCTGAAAACAATCCACATTTAGGAAATACCAAAGACGTAGTTTTAGAATTTTTGAAAACTATTTTTGCAAGGAAATGAAAATAACATGAAAATGATAGGTGTTTTCAAAGTTTTTGTTGTTTTTATTTCTGTAAACACAACCAAACAGGTTGTTAAAAGTGCAAAAAGGGAATTATAGGTGTTTTCAAAGTTTTTGTTGTTTTTATTGTTGGAAAAAATAGTACCAAACTATAAGGAAAATATAATTTAAAAATATGTAAATGGTTTTTGGGCAAAACCAAAACTGAAATAAATTGACAAAACAACAGAACAAAACTTACAGTACATAAATAAATAAACATGATCAAGTCGAGTGTGTGACACTCTTTCTCTCCTTAAGACAGATTCGTCCTCCCACTGGTGCTTAGGATTTAATGGACATCTATCTCCCAGGATACAACGATCAATTTCTTGCACTAGCAGCACTACTATTGCAAGCCCAGCAAACTTCGCTGTGCATGTATTCTCTTTATAAGAAACTTAGAATCAAGAAATATGAAGAATAAAATGCAAAGTAAAGAAGAAATGACCATTCTCCCTATCAATTGAAGTGAGGGGGATAGAATTTATAAATTCCTTCATGACTCTTTAGAAGGACACACCCTTCCATCTCAAGAGACACAACTATTGGAGTAAATTTAAATTTAAATTCAAATTTTCCAACAATCCCCCACATGAATGAAATTTACGGAAAGGACATGCAACAACATGCAGACAAAGAGAGAGTACATTAAGGAAATACCCTGTATCGAGATAGGTAGCTTTTGGTTTTGAACCTTTCCTAGTGAAAGCCTATCGGACTTACTAGCTAATCAGTGGACGTGATGCCTTGAACTGTTTAGCCGTTTGTGTAAGCCAAGACAACAGAATTCACACAATATTTCCAGACACAGTTTAGTTCTCACGGTTGTGCCCGTTTTGGCTTTGGGCATCTCCTGGTATTTCATGAGTGCTTTAAAGAGTTTTGCCTTATCAATTCTCATAGAAGCGGCCCCTTCACACTCATATAGGTGATGTTATTTTGAGTCCCTTAAATACTCCTCTTGAAAGATACCCGTCTAGGGTTTTCAAGATATAAGTGATCATTAAAAGCATAGCTTACCCTAAGTTCCCTGCATACAACATATGTTGCAGATATCACTCTCATCATAGGAATGGATAAAAGTTAGACTCCTTTAGTGATTTCTGGCAAGCCACACATAACTTAGTTGTTCCTTTGAACTTAGTTCTTGGGATCTCCAGTCATCTAAGTAGGGTTACCATTATGATGACTCTGATGTAATAGACTTTAATCACATTTCCCTCGATAAACTTTCCCTCATTTGCTCTCTGGTCAAACTTTTTGTTTAGCGGCCGCTTTTTTTCCGTTTGACCTTCTCAGTTATTGTTAAGTGTTAGGGGTAGTTTGGTCTTTATGTATTATTCTTATTAGTATAAGTAGTTGTGTGTAAGGGGGAAACCCTAAGTTTTTGAATCAATAATCTACAGAAGCTTTCTCTTGTTCTATTCCTTCTTCTTCTTCTTCTTCTTCTTCTTCTTCTCATCTATACATTTAACAGTTATATATCACTGAGTAGTTTGTGGATCCACTATATTATCCTTAGACAATATGCACAACTGAAAGCAAATGTCTTACGGTATTAAGTCTTTAATTACTTCGAGACTTACCATTACTCTATGTCACTCCTACTTTCAAATTTAAATAATAAACATAGAGGTGTTCCTTAGGAGTTAATGAAACCATATTTGCTTCTACTCCAACTTTGTTCTGTAAAAAGAATCGAGATTCTTCGTGGACCTACAATTGGAACCATTATTTTGGTAAAATCCTCCAAGCACCCCCACATTTTAAGCATTCCAAGGAAACTTAATTTCTCTTGTTGGCGCATAATAAATACACCCCCACAATTCTGAGATAAATCAGAATATTACATTAATTGGAGTGCTTGAACTAAATAACAAGATATAAATTGCTTTGTGAATATAATTACAATACTAATTGATCTAAAATACAATTAGACTTCATAACTTGCTTTTGCAGTACAAAGAAGAAATGACTAATACCGATTGTGGCCACAACACTTTGTCAAATAACTTTTATTTAGCCATGATTAATTTCTTTTTGTTTATTGCAACTCCTAATTCCAATCACAACATGGAATATAAATATCACTGTATAACTACATTTACATCTTATTTGTTTTATCCAATATTGGTGACTACGTTGACAATTACCAAAGTGTCTTTTACCCATAAAATATTTTAACTCATATAATATTTCATTATGGATTAGTCACCACACCAATTTTAGTCATTATTCCAAAGAATAGTTAGAATTCCTCTCATGTCAAAACACATAAGTTCACGTTTTTATCAACACTTTGATAAATAATTGACATCCATTTATAATACACCACATACTAAATTGATATTAGTGACATCATATAAAAAAACGATGCTATTAATTGTCAACTCTACAACATATCTAGGCATGGACAAGACTTGATCAGGTTTTATTTATTTATGTACTATAAGTTTTGTTCCGTTCTATGAAGCACGGATACTCTGAAATGGCCCCCGTACGTGTATCGGTTACGGATACGTGCCCGATACGGCGGGATACGTATCAGATACGGGAAAAAAGTATCCATTTTTTTTTTCTAATTTTTGAATTTCGGATACGTCTAGGATATGCGAGTATACGGTCTGGATACGGCGGGGAAAAAAAATTATTTAAAAAACTTAAATTGGGGTCAAAGTATAAAATATGAAAATAAGATAAAATAAAACACAAAAAAAAAAAATAATCAACCCAACTTACCTAGACCTAGGTCGAACAGCAGGCAGCCACGAAGGAGGAGGAGGAGGAGGAGTTTGTCGTCGTCTCTCGTCTCGAACAGTAGCTCGACGGTCGTCGAACAGGTTCGTCCCTCTCTCTCTCTCCCTTTCGCTCCCTCTCTGTCTACCTCTCGCTTGATCTCACTCTCTCTCTCCCTCTCCCTCTCCCTCGATCTGTCTGGTCTAGGTGGAGATGGACAGATCTTGATCTCATCTCCCCCTCTCTCGGTCAATCTCTCTCTCCCTCTCCCTTTTATCTATATCGTCTGTCTTTGCATATTATTTTTATTTATTTTTTATTTTTTGTATGTATACTTTGTAAATAAAATAAAATAAATCAAATAAGATTTAAAAAAAAAAAAAAATTCGTATGTATTCGGTATTACCTGATAAAACAAAATAAATCGTAAAAAAACTTATTAAAAATAAACTTTGTGAACTTATAAAATTATAAACTTTGTAAACTTATTAATAAATCAAATAAGGTAAAAAAAACTTATTAATAAATAAATAAATAAAGTTATTAATAAACTTTGTAACCTTAATCCTGGCCAACAATAAATAAATAAACTTATTGATAAATAAATGAACTTTGTAAATTTTTTCCCCTTAATTTGAATTGCATTATGGTTGTTATGGGTGATGCTATATTGTTGAAATTGTTGAAATTTAATTGAATTGATGAATTTTTTGTTATGGGTGATGCTACATTAATGTTTTGTTTTATTTGTTTACCAAATTTATAAATTTTAGGAAATGAGTTCGGGTACGGGAAGTTTAGGTTCAACAAGTGGTACACCAATGGAAGAAGATGATCATGCTCCTCTTTGGTGTTATGTTACAAAACTAGAAAAAAATGGGAGAAGGAGGTGGTAATACTAGGTTTAAATGCAATTACTGTCAAAATGAGTACAAGGGGTCATACTTTAGGGTCAAGGCACATTTGTTAAAACTTTCTAGCAATGGGATTAGAGTGTGCCCCAAAGTGACTCCGCAACACCTTGCTGAAATGCAAAGAAAAATTAAAGAAGCTGAGAAGAGGTTAAAGATGGCTATGCCTAAAAAATTTCCTTTACCACCTTCCACCCAATCTACTTCAACAGGTTCAGGGCCTTTAGATACTGGAGGATTTAGGATGGAGGGGTATGAGCCAAGAAAAAGAAAGGCTACTGGAACTTTTGCTCTAGAAAAGGCATTAAACCCAATTATTCGGGAACCACTGCATTCTGAGATTGCTCGCATGTTTTATTCAGCGGGGTTACATTTTCATTTATCAAGGAACCCATATTATGTTAGTGCATTTCAATTTGGTGCCAACAATTCAATTCCTGGTTATGTACTACCCGGTTTTAACTTACTGAGGACTACATTGCTTCAAAAGGAAAGGGCTAATGTAGAGAGGTTGTTGGAGCCAACTAGAGCATCATGGAAGGAAAAAGGGTTGAGTATTGTTTCAGATGGATGGACTGATTCTCAAAGAAGGCCCCTTATTAATTTTATGGGAGCATCAGAAGCGGGGGCAGTGTTCTTGAAAGCTGTTAATTGTGAAGGTGAGCATAAAGACAAGTTTTTTATTTCCAACTTAATTAGTCAAGCAATTAAAGAAGTTGGACATCAGAATGTCATTCAAGTCATTATAGATAATGCTCTCTTGTGTAGTGCAGCTGGTTTACTCATTGAAAGTAAGTACCCGAATATCTTTTAGACACCACGTGTCGTTCACACACTGAATCTTGCTCTTAAGAACATTTGTGCTCCAAAGGAAACAGGGGGTTACTACTTTTGCTTATGATGAATGTCATTGGATCACACCTTGTGTTGATGATGTGATGTTTATCAAAAACTTCATCATGAACCATTCCATGAGGCTAGCTATTTTCAATGAATTCGTACCCTTGAAGTTGCTTGCTTGTTGTTGCAGACACACGTTTCGCATCTGCCATTGTCATGCTCAAAAGGTTTAAACTTATAAAGCGTGGCCTCCAATCAATGGTTACTAGTGACCAGTGGGTTTCTTACAAAGAAGACGATGTTGGGAAAGCAGCATCTGTGAAGAAAAAATTATTGAATGATGTGTGGTGGGATAAGATTGATTACATTTTGTCTTTTACATTGCCTATCTATGAGATGCTTAGGTTTTGTGACACTGACAAACCATTCCTTCACTTAGTCTATGAAATGTGGGACACCATGATTGAAAAGGTGAAGGCAAGCATCTTTAGGCATGAAGGGAAGCTAGATCATGAGGAATCAATCTTTTATTCCATTGTGCACAATATACTAGTTGAGAGGTGGGCCAAAAGTAACACTCCTCTTCATTGCCTTGCACATTCTTTGAATCCAAGGTAATAGCTTAATTCATACTCTTACTAATTACATTTCTTTGTTGACATTTGTCTTTTAATATGAATAACATAATTTAATTTTAAAACTTTCTAATGTTGTAATCTAGGTATTATAGTTCAGCGTGGCTTGATGAAAATCCCAATCGTGTCCCTCCTCATAGGGATGAAGAAATTTCAAGTATGAGAAACAAGTGCTTCAAGAAATACTTTCCAAATTTAGAGGAGAGACGGGTTGTAAATGTGGAATATGCCAAGTTTTCAGGAGGTTTGGATATGTTTGGAGATTTTGACTCAAAGATTGATAGAGGAGTATTGGATCCACTTATTTGGTGGTTTACACATGGGTCTCCTGCTCCTATGCTTCAATCTTTAGCATTAAAATTGCTTGGCCAGCCATGTTCCTCATCATGCTGTGAAAGGAATTGGAGCACCTACTCCTTTATTCACTCCATGAAAAGAAACAAAATGACACCACAACGTGCTGAAGATTTGTTTTTTGTGCACAACAATCTTCGTCTCCTATCAAGGAGAAGTCGACAATACATTGAAGGAGAATCCAATTTATGGGATGTTGGTTGAAATTGCAAGTCTTTCTCTTAATGAACCAAATATGGAAGCTGTGATATTCACTGATGAAGGGGAACAAGTTGAAGCTATTGACCTTGAAGACTCTTAGTTTCATAGGAATCTTTCTTTTTTTATCAAGTTGTCTTTTGCTTTAAGTTTTATTTTTATCTATGCTACATTGCTAAAAATTGTTGAAGTTTTATTTTATGAATGCTACATTACTAAAAATTGTAAAAATAATATTTTTTATGAACGTATCCCCGCCATATCCGTATCCTACTTTTTCAAATTTTGTCGTATTGCCGTATCTGTATCGTATCGTACCCATATCCCGTATCCATATCCGTGCTTCCTAGGTTCCGTTGTTTTGTCAATTTATTTCAGTTTTGATTTTGCCCAAAACCCATTTACATATTTTTAAATTATATTTTTCTTATAGTTTGGTACTATTTTTTCCAACAATCTTAGGACAGATTCGTCCTCCCACCGGTGCTTAGGATTCAATGGACGTCTATCTCCCAGGATACAACAATCAATGTCTTGCACTAGTAGTACTACTATTGCAAGCCTAGCGAACTTCGCTGTGCATGTACTCTCTTTATAGGAAACTTAGACTCAAGAAATATGAAGAATAAAATGCAAAGTAAAGAAGAAATGACCATTCTCCCTATTAATTGAAGTGAGGGGGATAAAATTTATAGATTCTTCCATGACTCTTTAGAAAGGTTGTGAACCTTCAAAAGGACACACCCTTCCATCTCAAGAGACACAACTATTGGAGTAAATTTAAATTCAAATTTTCCAACATATATTTCTGTAAACACAACCAAACAGGTTGTTAAAGTGCAAAAAGGGAATGATGAAGGCCAGAAATGTAACGCATATGATGGCCTGAAATTTAACGCATATGATTGCCTTGAATTTAAAGGAAAATTAGACTCTGAATGAAGTCAACTGCAAAGGATTGATAGCATTGAAGCTTGTTGAGTTCTACTTGAGAATTTCAATAAATTGACAGGCAAAAAAAAAAGGGGGAAAGATGAAGCAAATAAATATAGTTTGACTTCATAAGAATTACCTGGCGAGTGAAAGTGAGACCAACTCTAATCTCTCCACAATATTGCTCGTCCTTGGTAACATTGTATGAAGTTGGTGGAATGCTTCCTTCATGGAACAATGATTCTAATGGAATCCTGCATGGACCATTACAAAACATTCATAGTAAAATCTAGGGCTGTAGCTCCTGCAATTTATCTCTTGTGAGAATGTAGTTCTTGTAGTTCTAATTGTATTAATTTTACCCTTAAATTTTTCACATCGTGTCAAGTTAATACAATTAATAATAATCTTTTAAAAATTCGATTGAAATCAAGAGGCAAAATAGTCTATTCACTCTTTTCAAAGTAATTGCAAGGTTGAAGTCTAATTCGAAATATTCCATTGTCTTTGGAATTGACAATTTTGCCTTTGATTTATGTCCAATTTCTCAATAGATGTTAATTGGATTAGATTGGCACAACGTGAAAATTAACATGGCAAAATTGATACAATTGAAACAATGAAGATCAAATTGACCAGAGACAAATTATGGGATTGCAGGTAAATTTGTCCTAAAATCAATGTAACTTTATCATTCCCATAATAGTAATCAATAAATAAACCAATTTTATCTTGTCATATATAATGTTTACTACTCAAATTCAGCTCCTTGGCCTTTAATCAGAAATGCTTATTGAAAGCTCAATGTCTCAACAATATGTGGTGTGAATGCCAAAAAAAATTTAAGTGATAACCACAGGTTACCATTATGGTGTAATATATTACAATCACTGCACCTAGTGTTGATATGTAGAAACTAGTTGAAAATGATATTTTGAAAAATTGACACATCTGACAAATAAATAGATACAAATGAGACAAGGAACATTACTCACGTTGCCTCTCCAACGAAATCATCCTGAGTGAGATTATCGCTATCCATAATTTTGATCCTGAGTTCTGAAACATCATCTGAGATTGTGAACAAAAAGGTCTCATTCCATTCAGGAGTAGTTCCCTTGCCTGAATAAACCACGTATCAGTGAAAATAAAGACTGGGTAAACACTATATACTTCGTCGATGATTCTAGTGAATATTTTATAACAACAGAAATTTTAAAACAAAAGCATGTACCAATGTAATCACAACAAACAAATTTATCATTGTTTCCTTGTATTCAAGGATCCAAACACAATTTACACACTTCGAGATAGATAGAGTGTATGCCTTATGGGGAGAAAAACTCACCTGACGCAACACTGCTTCTCTTCTCCTGAGTCAAACAAGTGATGATGGCATAAGGGTCCATGTTAGCTGCATTAACCGACAAAAATGAATATGTAAGGAAAACACAAATTGGACTAACCAAAGGGTTAGCAAGAGAGTTAGTTGAGAATTCATCGAGGGGAATGGGACTTAAGCCTATTAAATAAGAGTTACCACAACAGCAACCTAACCTAGTTGACTGGAGATCCCAAGATTTAGGTTCAAAGGGACAACCGAGTTGTGAATGACTCAGAAGGATCACTAGGGAGTTTATCTCCTGCCCATTTCTTTGATGAAATAGTGATGTCTGCAGCGGTTTAGGTTAAGTAATACTTTTAATGATTCTTATATCTAGGTAAACCTAGTGGAGTATGGCAGGATACTTTTCATAAGAATCACCTATGTAAGTGTGAACTGGGCCAGTTCTATAAGATTTGTGAAGGGCTACAAGTCTTTAGAGCACTCATGAAAGACCAAGTTGTTTAGGGCCAAAATGAACACAATAGTGAGAACTAAACTGTGTCTGGAGATATACTGTGTGAGTTCTATTATCTTGATTTACACAAACGGCTGAACAGTTCAAGACATCATGTTCACTGGTTAGCTAGTAAATCCGATAGTATCTCACAAGGAAAGGTTCAAAGCCAAAAGCTACCTATCATTTGCAGAATATTTCTAATTTCTATACTCTCTGTATTTACATCATGTTATTGCATTTTTCTCTGTCAATTCATTCATGTGGGGGATTGTTGGAAAATTTATAAAGAGGTAGTTGTGAATTGAAATAGACTCCATTTTAAATGAAATGGTGTAACCTTTCATGGTGTCTTTTTGTTTTAAAGAAAGGGTCAAACCTCCATTTGAATGAAAGGGTGCAAACCTTTCATGGTGTCTCTTTATTTTAAAGGAAGGGGTATGTCCCTTCTTCATACCTTTTCTATTCAAATTGAATAGGTGCCAACAAAGCCTATATAAAGGCAGCCCCATTCCAATTTTTATTGATTCCGAAAATTCATTTTCCTTGCCTTCATTTTGCTCTCTTGCGTCCTTTATTCTTCATATTATTTTAGAAAAAATTTCAGAGAGTTATAGAACACAAGGTTCTGGTTCGTCGAACAAAATTTGTTTGAAGTGCTACTAAAAATTTGTGAAGATCATTGTATCCTGGGAGATAGACGCCACATAACCGTAAGCACCGTAGTGGGGCGAATCTGTCTTAAGGACAGAGTGTCGCACACTCGACTTGGTCTTTAAATTATTGATTCGGTTCAACAAAATAAATTCTATAAGTTTTATTTTATTTTGTTTGAATTATTTTAAGTTATTTTATTTACACAGAAGATTGTTCCAACAATATATATATTATAAAACTAAATCAGATCCGGGTAGAAACCAAATTTGAGCAATGCACAACATCTGAAACCAAAACCTCGCATAATTGCTGATATATTCAACTGAGAGAAAACGAACAATTAGTGAAGATATATAGATGAGATGCGGTCTTTGTAATATTATTGGATTATTATCAACTTATCCTACATATCAACTATTGCTTAAACTCAATAAGTTAGTCAAAATTGACCACTCCAAGCATTCAATTTTGATCAAATTGTATGGATGGTAAAAGACGTTAACAAGGCTCCAAGAAGAGAATTATTCAACGAATGTTCAAAGCTCATCAAATACTATTAATGATAATCCTATATATATATATATATTAAATGAGATTTACCAAATCATTAGATCCAACTCTTTCGTACGATTCTCACATTGCGTGAAAAAACTCATAAACCGTTGAAAATCTGACTTCAAAACTGCTCTACATTTTCCTATCCTTATTTTTCTCAGGAAACAAACAAAAATAATATATATAACTAAATCAGATCCTGGTAGAAACCAAATTTCAGCAAATACAGAACGTCTGAAACCAAAGCCTCGCATGATTTCTAATATATTTAGCCGAAAGAAAACGAACAATGAAAATTACACCATAAATTACACTGCAGATTCATATATATATATATACATGAAAATGTATGTGTGTGTAGAGAGAGAAAGAGAGAGAGAAACTTACAGAAAAAATCGGTGTTCTCGATGTCTTTGGCACCGAGGAGAAGAACTTCAAGCGTTCCGTGAGGCATCTTTGGATCCAAAAAAGCAGAGAGAGAGAGAGAGAGAGAGAGAGAGCGTAGAAAACATAGATCAGAAAATGGGACGCTCGGTATGTGTATAAACTAGGAAATTATTCAATACTCCCGGAGCACCACGTGTCTATACTCCAAACTAATCACCAATCAGTTAGTCCCAAGTTGTCCCCCATCTCCAACATAAATCGTGGACTCTTGTGTCTCTCCACCAATCAAAATATTATAGAGTACCACGTGTCCATACTCCGGGAGTACTGAATAATCACCCGTATAAACTAGCGTTTTCAAGCCGGTTCAAGTTGTTATCAGTTTGGAGGCGGGTACAGAAAAAAGCAGTTGGTTCGTGGGCTTAAAAAAAAAAAGTGAAAACTTTTATAATTTTAATTATTAATATTTATCACTTTTTTATAAATATATATTTTTTAATCCCAATGATATAGCCATATTTGGTACTATTTGATTTGGGTGTACGCAGTGTGATTATGGGCAATTTGAACCTAAAATTATAAATTAAATTGCGAATGATAGATTGACAAATAATTTTTTTATTTATATTTTTAATTAATATTTATTGTTTCATTTTTAGGGTATTTTTAAGATGATTTTTTATTTATTTGTTTATAATCAAAAGTTAAAACTAAATTTTAAAAAACCATAAAAAGTAAGTAAAAATCTTGATCTCCTCAATCTAATTTGAACCTAAGCAATGGGCCACGTGAATTTCATTGAGCTATTCAGTGTTCATCCTCAAAACAGAAAATGCCATGTTTTGTTTTTTAAACTTTAAAATCTTATAAATTTTTTATTTATAATATTTTTTAAATTCTCTGTCAACATTTATATTGGCTATAAAATTATAAAGGGATATTTACTACTACAAAAATTACTTTATATGTACATTACGCAAATGTGCTGCTACATTTTATAATAGAACATTTCTTGAGAATCCTTAATATCCAAATGTTATTTAGTAGGTGGACATAATACTTAGGTGGTAAATTCAATCTAATCCAACTCAATCCAAAGCTATATCTATTTAAAATTTATACAAATTCGTCTAAAGCAATAAATGAGTTTACATGGGTTAGACAAAGATACACGTTTAAACTTGTTTAAATGAATACCACTTCTACTATTAATCCACTTTTACTTCCACCACCACCACCACCATTGTTGCCACTACACCACCATCACCATTACCACCACTCCACCACCACCTCCTTTTCTATCACCACCACTTAGGATAATAAATGAACTAAACAACTTGAGCTTGACTCATATTTGACTTGTTAAAAATTCATTCAAGTTTAATTCATCAAGTAAATAAAGCCAAATTTAAATACGTTTTTGAACTTGTTAAAGTTATCAAAACAAACTTGAAGAGTCAATTACTCATTCGGTTCGGTTTGATAAGCTTAAAACTATATGAAAACACAAAACTACTAGAACTTGATTCGATAAAAGTTTGTTTGAAATCGGCTTGAAAGTTTTATGAATAAAGCTTGAAAAAATTTAAAAACTCGTTTGAATTTTCATATCAAATTTGAACAGCTAACCGTTCGGTTTGTCCGGTTCGTTTATCACCCCTACCGCCATTCCACCAGCACCACCACCACCACTTCCACCTCCACCAACACCCCCACTCTACCGCCGCCACCACCACCACCACCACCACCATTGCCACATTACCAATGCTGCTACCACTCTACCACTACCACCATTTCCGTTACCACCATCACTTCGTCATCACTTCATTGTCATAAAAAAAAATAAATAAATAAAGAGAGAAGGAAGCACTATGATATACACCCATCAAAAGGTGTGTATATGCATTTTATAACTAAAGAAAAAAATGATATAATTTCATGCTTTTTGAGTCATAACTAAAAAAATAAAAATTATTATAATTAAACACAACATACAACATAAATGAAGAACTTATGATTCATAATTAAAATAATATTATAACTTAAAAAAATTGATTATAACTAAAGAAAAAATAACATAACTAGGAGGGCATCATATGCACCCCCTTTTAAAGGTGTGTGGGGTATAATTTCCCGAAAAAAATAATAAAAGGAAAAAAGAAAAAGAAAAAGAGAGATGAAGTAAATGGAGTTTTTTTTTTAATATTCTAAAAAAAAAAACAATTTAGAGAATTGATCCACTTTTTAAATTATTTGAAAAATTAACCTGCTTTTGAAATCGCATTTTGAAAATGTGATTTTGAAATTGAAATTACATTTTCACCATGCAATTTCATCTTAAAATTGCATGTTGAACATGCAATTTCACCATGTCATCATAAATTGCATTTTTAACTTGCGATTTCAAGGTGAAATTGCATGTTGAAAATGTAATTTCAAAAAATTAGTTTCTCAAATAGTTTGAAAAGTGAGTCAATTCTTTAATTTTTTTTTTTTTTAAGAATATTTTTAAAAAAATACTCCCCGTATCCCATGAGATCATTGTTTCTTTATTTATAATATTTTTAGGACTAATATACCATTTGTTCTATTTTTGATAGTAAGTATTACACATAATTGTAATCTTCTTGTTTCTTTTTTCTGTTTTGACTGTTTTGAAATTAGTGGAATGGGTTTCTTTAAAAACTAAATATATATTATTAAATTATAATATTGACAAGAAAACACGGTTAAAAAAGAATCTTGCAGCACAAAGAAACTTCCACTGATAGTCTCTCTCTCTCTCTCATGCTTGCTCTCATTCGCTCTCTTTTTAATTTGCCCGTTTGAGAATTGAAGAAAATCACAAAACAACAAAAACTCAGACAGATGAATTGGGTGATGATCATCAAAGAAAGAAGCAAAATATAAGAAACCCAGAAAGAAGCTCATCATCATCATTATCATCATCATCATTCTTCTATTGTTGCAGTTCGACACTCTGTGTTCTTCCATTGTTACAGTTCAAAACTTTGTGTTTTTCCATTGTTGCAATTCGAAACTCTATTTTCTTCCATTCATATATCGTAGGGACAAGGTTAGCACCGTTTTTGTTTTGTAATTACATATAGGTATGTGTTGGTAAAAATGTATGTTCAAAATTGTTTAATAATTTATTAAAGTTAGATTCGACTTTTTGTTTTAAGATGGATTGATATGGTATTATATATCCGTGTATATGTATGCTTATTAATTAGGTATTTTTGTGAATATGAACGTGCACATCCACTAAAGTCATTGTTATCGTAGATTATTAGATTTTAATGTTTTAAATTTGATAATGTGAACTTTAACATTAGAAACATGTGATGATTACATGATGTGCAATGTAAACTGATGATTGCAGATTGTTGCATAATGTGAATACATTCACATATTACTGATCATTGTATGAGTTTTCATGATTTTTACCTGATTATTATATGGTGTGAAAGTTTGCATTGGTGTTGTGATTATTATATCTTTAATCAATGTTAATATTTGCATTTAAAAATAGTCATATAAGATATTTTGGTCAGAACATATTGTGCATCTTAGTAATATAACATAGAGTTGTGAATGTTCATATCAACATTCCTGAATGGTTATATGCACACAATAACAAACAATTACCAATAATGTGAATGTCCATAGTGTCTCTATAATATCAAAATAACATGACAACATTAATCATGTATTACTCACAACAAATCACAATTAATATTAATATTTACATTAAAAAATAGTCATACACTAGCATAAACAATGTGAATGTTCACAGTGTATGGTTCTATGAGAAAATATTATTTATCAGCATGCATTTATAATGTGAAAGTTTACATTAACATTTAGTGAGAGATTTTCAAAGAGTAATGATAGAGACCCCAAAAATTCTACCAAAAGTTTTACCAAATATCTCGCATGGGTGTGGGACCCACCCATGTGAGATATTTGGTAAAACTTTTGGTAGAATTTTTGAAGCCTCTAACATTTTTGATTTTCAAAAGGTAGAAGATTTATGATTTTAGGAATGTGAGATTTTTTTGATGGAATAAATGAGATTTTCTCCACGGGAAATATTTTCTTTATGAAATAAGCGAAATATTTTATTCTTGAAATGTAAAGATTCTTCCTAGAATAAGGAGAGATTTTCTTCATGGAATGAGGGACGGTTGTAATTTTTTTTATTTTGTATTAATTTTAAAATAGAAACATGCACAAAAAGTTGGAAGGGTGATTTGATCATATTATTCTAAACAAGACCTAATGGAATATAAAAAAGATGGATTAAATGGAATATAACAATTAGAAATAGGACTTTCTAAAAATCAACCAATTTTTTTTAATGAATTTGTAATTATTTGTGAAAACATCAATTTTTTTTAATTTTTAAAATATAAATAGATAAATTACAAAGTCCATTTTTTTATTTTAATTTTTTTAGCCCGGGGATCCTCTGGATGTTACAAAAATGATAGGAACCTCTCGGTTGTTTTGGTTTCTAGTTACAGATTACCCCTCCGTCGGTAGAATGGGGCACTTAACGGATCGTTTAAATTGGGGATTTTGATTAAAAAATATATATATATATATTTGTCCAATTTTTATGATTGGTTGGTTTTTTATTTTTTGAATTAAAATATAAAATAAAAAAATTAATATGTTGAGAATAATTTTTTAATTTTTTATAAAAATAAATAAATAAATAAATAAATAAATAAAAGAATTGTTTTGTTCGCTTTGTTTGATTCTGCTTTGGTCTTTTGCTTTGCATGATCATTTTGATATTTTGATATTTTACTATATGCTTTTTATAAAGGTAGTTGTAATGTAGTATTTTAATGGATAAGGCTCCCTCTCTCTCTCTCTTCCACTGTCTTCTCTTTTTTTCTCCGCAACTTCGTTTTTCCGCAATTACTCGTTTTTGCGCAATTACATTTATGACCCCGAATATTAAGGGGACATGATGTTATAAATAACAGCAATGTTAGGGGCATAAATTCTGTGGCTCAAATAGTCTGAAACTGTTAAAACGATATCGTTTTGGGTGCAAAACAAGCTAAAGCGATGTCGTTTTGACAGTTTCAGACCATTTGAGTCACAGAATTTGTGGTCACCAAACATTTTCCT